TTAGATAGATAGAGAGAGAGAGAGGAAGAGAGAGAAAGAAAATGAGAGTGAGATAATGAACTGAGTGAGATAGATAGATAGATAGATAGATAGATAGATAGATAGATAGATAGATAGATAGATAAAAAAAATATTGATAGACTGGGGAAGATAATGAACAGACTTATATAGATGGATAGACAGATAGATAGATCGATATAAAATATTAATATATTGAGATAGACAGTTAACATTTAGAAAAATCGATAGATATAAAATAGAAACAGATTAAGATAGATATAGAATATTAATAGATTGAGACAGATAGATAGAAAGAGAGAGAGAGAGAGAAAATGAACAGACGTAGAGTGATCGATAGATACAAAAAAGAATTAAGAGGCTGACATATTTCGATAATGAACAGACTTAGATAAATGGAAAATATTAACAGACTGAGATAGAAAGATAATGATATAAGATATTGATAGACATACATACATAGATAGATAGATAGATAGATAGATAGATAGATAGATAGATAGATAGATCATATTAATAGATTGAGAAAGATGATGGACACACTTAGATATATGGAAAGATAGATATGTATAAAATGGTAATAGATTGAGATAAGTGGATAGATATATATATAAAATATCAATACACACAAACACACACACACATATATGTATGTATATAGATAGATAGATAGATAGATAGATAGATAGATAGATAGATAGATAGATAGATAGATAGATAAAAAAGGAACAGATTTCGATAGTTAAATCGATAGAAAGAAATATAGATAGAAATTATCAATAGCCATAGATAGATAGATAGATAGATAGATAGATAGATAGATAGATAGATAGAAAATATTTTTGGCCTGAGATAGATAGACAGATAGATAAATATAATATATCAACAGACGGAAATAGAAAGAAACAAAATATTAATTGATAGATAGAAATAGAAATAGATACATATAAAATAGTAATAGATTGGGATAGATATATAATATCAATAAAGTGAGATATAAAATATCCATACACTGAGACACATACATAGATAATGAACAGACTTAGATAAAGAGAGAGAGATAAAGAGAAAAAGGGAAAGAAATAATGAATACAATTAGAGAGAGATTGGAAAAAGTTTAAAGAGATAAGGGATAGAGTGAAATAGATAGATAGATAGATAGATAGATAGATAGATAGATAGATAGATAGATAGATATAAAATGCTAATGGATTAAGATAGATAATGAATATATATATATATATATATATACACACACACACACACACACACACACAGATATATATATATATATATATATATATATATATATATATATATATATATATATATATATATTAAAGTATATATATATATTATCCCCCATCGATAGCACGACACGGAGTTTCATGTACAACACAATCTTCATGTGCAGATGATAAACTGGGCAATTTATTAACACCAGTACTATATATGCGATACACACACACACACACACACACACACATATATATATATATATATACATATATATATATATGGATTCAAGCAAAACTTTGGTTACATAATTTAGACATATTATGTCTAGTTATTTTAGTCTTGATACTTTCAAGTCCAAGAATTAATTTCTTGCTTGCTGTAGAAAATTGATGAAGAAAAATACCAAAATTTTCTTTCAGATAATTTTTAATTTCTCAAGTACTTTCAATCTCATCTGACACCATCTTCATTTAAAATATCTGTGGATGGGTTTACAGTACCAACGTAAATTAATTTGTTAAATTTATCAGCCACTGATATTATCCACAGATATATATATATATATATATATATATATATATATATATATAGAGAGAGAGAGAGAGAGAGAGAGAGAGAGATGATATAGAGAAAGCGATTAAAGGAAAAGGCTTGGATGTGGTTTCAAATAAATTACTGATAACGCGTTAATTAAATGTAATAAATTTCCTTGTATCAATTTTATGATATTATTCACTTCAATGTCCGATGTGATATTGACATTCGCACTACCGGTCTGTTCTTTCGATGAAGTGGCGCCATGAATCCCATTGCCAATTCACGAAAATTAGAAAATCGACTTGTCTTCCGGCTGATATCTGATAGGGCAGAACCATCTTATCATTTAACTTATTATCAAAAACGGATATGCATAAGATCATGACTTGAAATATGCAATCGTTGACGAATCATTTTGCAGACTTTTGCCTGGTTTATCAAAGACATATCTTGACATTGAACGCATCAAGTAAATAAAAATGCTTACATGCAAATTTATGCGGATATTGCGAGAAACAGAAATATCTACCTATTAAAATATGTCTACCTTAGTTTGAAAAGATAAATTGCTTTGATTACTAAGCCAGTCTCCTCATCTTTTGACAGACTTTAGTTATCAGGAGCTCAATGAACGCAACTTTGATATTGACTAAGATAAGACTTTCATCTCTTCATCAACTACAAATGCACCATATATATATATATATATATATATATATATATATATATATATAAGAAATATAGTTTTAAGGTGTGCTATATTTATGGAGTAAAGTGCTCAATATCAGAGATAGAGCGTATGTAGATATAAAGTGAACATTGAAAGGCAACACTCGGAGGCGAGAGGCTGACTCATGCTAGAAGCAATCGTCAGGCCACCTGACGATTGTGTCAAGCATGAGTCAGCCCTCGCCTCCGAGTTTTGACTTCAATGTTCACTTTATATATATATATATATATATATATATATATATATATATATATATATACAAATCTATTAATCACTCAACTGCCCTTGCATGGAATACCGCTGCATATATGGTCTGGTGCCCCCGCTGTTCGTTTCAATGTCCTCGACAGAATCCATAGACGGATATGCAATGTGGTTGGTCCTGGTCTGACATCTCGTCTACAGTCACTTTCTTACAGACATACCGTCGCTTCCCTCTGTTTTTTCTACAAATACATTCACGGTAGCTACTTCTACAAGCTAATTTCGTTGGTTCCCAAACAGCATGAATTTAAGCGTGTTACTAGGTTGGCATCTCAGTCCCACCCTTTCACTGTCGAAATGGTTAAATCTCTTCTACTCCAATAGCTTCTAGCCTCGCACTTCCCATCTGTGGAACTACCTTCCTCTTACTTGCTTCCTTGACAGTTATAGTCTTCAAATATTCAAATGTAATGTCAATCGACATCGCCTGATTCCTTGATCCAATTCCCCGTCCTCCTCTTTATCCTTTCCTCAATCACGTCTCTTTACTCTTGATCCCGGGGTGAATTGCTTATATATATATATATATATATATATATATATATATATATATATAATTGTGTATTTGAGCATAGATTATTCTTTTATACACATTTTCATTAACGACGACTGACAAGGTATTGCGATTAAGCTTTGTATTCAATTTCAGTTTTTCTTGTGCATTTATAAGTTTTTTTGTTTTTTTTTTCTTTTCTGGACATAAAGTGTGCAATAAGTGTCCGAATGTTCTGTATATCAGAGCGCTTTCGGCTATTCTTTTAGCCATTATCAAGAATTATTTTTTAAATGAATGCATAGATTTTTATATATATATAAGTATCTAAATGGATGGATTTTTTTTCCAAACACAGTCAGTATGTTGCGGTCATGTTCATAGTAAGTGTTATTGAGTGTTGGCTTTTTCTTTTTCATTATTAAAGTTTCCATGATTTTACCCTTTTTTACATGTGGATGAGTCTATTATAGTTGCCTTTGTTGTCGGTAAAATTTGGTAGGTTTCGGTGTGTGTTTAAATGAGTCCTAATTGAGCTATGCTCAGAGAGATGTACCGTGAGTCATCTGGATATTCATGTAGTGGTATGTCCAGTATAATTTTTCATTAATTTGGTTTGATCAAGAACGCAGATTTTTTTAAGTGACATGTGAATTCATAAATAATATTGGTTCTCTGTAATTTGGATATTGCTGATAAGTTATTGCTTTTTGAGATAAAGTTAGCTGTTTTAGATTTTTATAGGAGATAATTTAATTTTCTTCTTCTGGTCGACTAGGGTTGTGTATTTCTTTATAATGGTTCCAAGGGAAGATTCATCTTACTTATAGTTAACGTGTATTTGATTTTTATAAAAAATGTTATTGTTATTGTTTTTATATGTATGTTCAGTGTTGCTATTGGTTACATTAGAAAGAAATAAACTCATTTGGTAATCTATGAGGTAGTTCGAATATATGCTGGGTGTAATAGCAAAATTGCCCAAATCGGGTAATAGCATAAATGTCCATCCCATAAAATGTTCTAACTGAGATTCTTTTTTTTAAGGTTTTCAGATAAGTCGGGTAGCCATCTTGGCTCCATTTGTCGTAAGAATCAGTGAAAACCCCCTTTGAATTATTCATCTAGAAAGAGAAGAGGTTGAAATAGTCTTGCGTCAGGCCCACTATCTTCTCAGCAATGGTGAGAGGGAAAAGATTATTCAAGCCTTCAGTAATGGTGCCATTATTCATACACTGACTTCCGTCTTCACGAACCATCAAAAGAATGGTGAATAAATTTTAAAAATATGGAGCAGTAAAGGGGAAAATTGGATCACGAGGTCACAACCGAAAGAGGGTTCATCATTTCAACTTAGAGCTAAAGAGATCAATTACAAAAGATCCAACTCAATCCACAAGACATTTGGCATGTGAGAGAGAAGTTTTAGATATGACAGTCCAAAGAGCAGTGAAAAAAGTCTTGAAAATGAAATTGTATGTGAAACCTGTGAGGCAACCTTGTGACTCCAGAACAGAAAGTTATAATGTTAGAGTGGGCAAAGATCATCCTTAATAAGTTGGAAAAAAGATCATGGAATAATAATAATAATAATAATAATAATAATAATATATATATATATATATATATATATATATATATATATATATATATATATATATATGAACTTAATTTCAATCATTCATGAGCTTCTGATCCTTAGCTATGATTAATAATTAATGCTGAACATTTCATTTTCGTTAATGATCGATTTTATCACGATTATTCTGTTAAGCTTTTAGAGTAATTATACATTCTTATTCGCCGAGAGAGAGTCCAATAGTGTTTATAAAAATCTCGGAGAATTCCGGTACGATATCTTAAATCATTTTCTAAGATACACCAGTCCAAATCTTAATCTAACAATTGGACAATTTTGCTGTTGCACGATTTGGACAATTTTGCTTTTACACCAGGTATACTTTGCTTATCTCCCTCAATTTATGTTTGCTATATTGACCTGTTCCTAAATTAGAAATTATATCTGTCTCCTCATTTTTGTATTTGCCTTTCTGTCTGTCTACCTCTCTCCGAGTTTCTAGAGAAGAGAGGGCTTTGAGACATTTTGTGTGTTTTTTAGAACGTATTTCCTTTTTTCAGATAACAGTAGTCATGAGGTGATTCAGAGAGAATTAGAAGTCCTACCAGGATTCATTATTGGCATTAAGGATCGTAACAAAATGACACATACAGATGACACAGAGTTGGTAGCACGCACATAAAAGAAAATACATGGATTCCTAGAGAAAGTAGTAAAAGCAAAGCGAGAAGAAAGTATTAAGAATCAATTATTAAGAGAAAGATTCTATGGTTGTCAGCAAAAAGAAGAGCCCAACATGCCGATTAACGAAAGAGAGCGAGAAGAAGGGACTAAGCCCAAATTTCAAGAAGACAGAATGCATGGTCATCAGCAAAAAGATAGGCCCGAAACACGATTTACAGGTCGGGGACACTAAAATCAAGAAGGTGCGGAAATTTAAATACCTGGGAAATGTTCTGACAGAAGACGGTAAAAGCGAGGCTGAGACGTATTGCGATGGCCAAAGACCCATTCCAAAAGCTAGTTATTACGAGACAGCAGGATGTCGTTGCTAACAAAGAAAAGCGTACTGAACTGCTACAAGCTATCTGTCCTCCTTTACGTCGGCGAATGTTAGACAGTTTAGACTCGAGGCAGTAGAGTTGTGGTTCTACAGAAGGAAGATGAGGATCCCATGGACCGAACATGTGAGCAACAATGAGGTTTTGAAGAGGATGCAAACAAAGCGGAAACTTATGCTTAACATCAAAAAGAGGCAGCCGAAATTTCTGGGACACCTAATGAGAAATGAGGGCTCGGAAAATCTGGTACTCCTAGGGCGAATAGAAGGAAAGAGGGACAAGGGAAAACAACGCGTGACATACTTAACGGGTTTAAGCAAGTGGATGGCAGAACAGCGTCTGGTAAAAATAACAAAAAGTCAAAGCCTATTGAGAGCTACAAGCGACAGGGGGAAGTCGAGAGCCATGATCGCGTACGTCCTTAAGGGAAACGGCATATAAAAGAAGAAGGTTGATCTTTGAATTCTGTTTTAGCAAAGAATTTGCCCGGTCCGTCTTGTACTGGGAAGTGTCAAGATTACGCAAATAGACCACAATTAGAGTTAATACCCAAGAAATAATTACCAAATAAATCAATATTGTAGAGAATGAAGACGGAGAATGCGTGGAGAGACATCTACATTTGAACGTTTAAGGTATTATAGCAAGGGTCTACGGTAGGTCATCAAAATAAGTTTGAACGACTGATTCTATTTATTGTTCTCTATCAGGTCGGTAGTTATGTAACAAAAGTGATAAGGTTGATGAGTGTGTCAATTTCTGTCAGATGTACAAACGCTACAGCTCTCAGCAAATGAGTGCAAAGGGAACTGAATTTAGGCCACTTCTCCAAAATCCTTCTGTCTAGTCGGAAGTGCAATTCCCGTAGGAACAGGACGCTGTTGTTAGTAGGAAGCCCGAGATGAACTCGTTAGCATAGTTCAATGGATCCTAACAGGACTTGATCTCGGTGGATTTTGTGGGGTCCGAGAATGAGTTATTAACAGTGAATTTTTTCTAGTGTGTCTGTGTGAGTGCGTGTTAATACATACGGTACATATACAGTATGCATACATTTATGCATATATATATATATATATATATATATATATATATATATATATATATATATATATATATATATATATATATATATATATATATATGTGTGTGTGTGTGTGTGTGTGTGTGTAATTATATGTTTGGGTTAGAAAGGTTAGAACGTTCGCTTTCTGACCATGAGACCCGGGTTCGAATCTCACCAACGGTTGATTTGCTCAGAAGATAGATTATCTCATTTCTTAGGAAAGTGCCTGAAAACCATACAACATTGGGTAGACGGAACCCTTCGCTGTGCATGAAGTCACAAGTCATCGTGACCGAGGGTATGCGTGTGCTGGCCTTTTTTCACGCCAGGAACTGTAACTCAGCATAGTTGAACAAACAATGCTATATGTGTTGAACAAACATGAATGTGCCTGAGCGAGCGTCTACAATAGGGATTGACTAGCCGCCCTATCAGACGGGTATCCTCGAATACGAGTGGCCAGATATTATTATAATTACGTATGTACTGTATATAATATATATATATATATATTAAGACATTTTATGTTTATACATTTTTTTATAGATACAAATATTTCAATAAATGCTCTGTTTATAATAAATAGTATTAAACAACATTTACCGGCCTGAATGTTTGAGAAATTTTCACAGAAAATATTCGTCCTCCGACAGGATTCGATCCTGTATATCGAATCTTATACGGAACCGTCATTTAGCTTGACGTGTCTTTAACCGATTTGACCACAGAGGTGCGTTCGATTAGCAAAGTCGAATTTAATATATTTGAACTTCAATCTTCTATGAATCTCTCAGGTACATTCATATCTGCTCATGGCGTATCTAATGTAAGCAAATGACGTCACACATTATGAAATGGTCAAAGTCCGACAATTATTTTAAGACATTTTTATGTTTATACATTCTTTTTATAGATACAAATATTTAAGTAAATGCTCTGTTTTATAATAAACATTATTAAACAACATTTACCGGCCTGAATGTCCGAGAAATTTTCACAGAAAATATTCGTCCTCCGTAACATGATATCTTTATAAATATTGTTAAATTCTAAAATTAAATGATAATACTATTATATATGCAGTCTCAGTTTCTTAAGAAAAGTTAATAGCTTTTTAGACTTATTCGACTTGATTAATAAGAATTATATGTCACGGGGCACATCAAAATTTTAGAGTGACTTAGGCGTGACATGGGCTGAAAAGGTTTAGAACCACTCGTCTAGTTCTACTATCTTCTAGATATTATTATTGTGTTTGTAAACGTGGTAGGTAAAAGTCATGTGTAATAGTAGCAGCATCAATCGCGCGGTCACCCAATAATTCAACATTATGATCAAAAGATATTATCAGAAATTGTTATATAGTGACGTTGAACTTAAGGGGTTAAAATGAACACTTGATTTAGAATACCAAGAAAATTAATGAAGGATGACATTGATGAGGAAACACGCAGGTAACTTTAACAAAACAAGACAAGGAATTTATTTACAAATTTTCACGCTTGAAGTTGTGTCAATACATCGTTTACGGAAAATAAACCAGGAATTTCTAAAGTCCGTAGTTTTAACGTATTGTCATGAAGAGGAAATGTTCATACAACAGATTAAATGATTTGACACAAAATAATATTCAGAAATGTTTAAAACAAAGGCAAAAGAGTTCACAATGGGGATGTATCATTGCATACGTTCAAAAGTCAATGAAGAGAGATAGTTTGAAATACTTAGCTTTCTTGGATTGTTGAGAGAAATTCCTTTGGGGTGTCACGTGTTTTGATAAGGGCTAATAACAGGCGAATAATTTTAAACTGGTGTGTAATTCAACGCAGGTCGTGGCTAAAAGAAACGAAATCTTTCACACGACTTCTGACACTCTTCTTTCATTAATTTAATTGTCCTCTTCAATTCATATTAAAAATAAAATTCACAGAAGTTCGCTACTTTTTTTTTCCTCAGTCCTCCAAATTTGAAGAGAGTGTATGGAAGGAGTTGTTATTATTTCGCTTTCACTACAGTTACATTTTGAATGGATATTAGACTTTTCAAGCGCTATATTATATATTCATACAATAAAAAACAATAATGTACACATGCAAATCTGGATTTATTTGGTTATTTTGGTTAAAAAAAAAAATCATTTGCCCCGAATTTTTAACATTTGCGTGAATGTTAACAAGGAATCATTTCTCACATTGAAAATCTCAATTTAATGTGTAACAGACGTTAAAACCTTTCGCTAGATACGCATGCGTTGATAAATATGACAGCAGCAGTAAGACGTTTACCTTTTGGGCATGCGTAAAAAGGAACACTTGGTGCATGTGTAGATTCTGTCTCTAATATCAGTTACATAATGTAAATATCAACAGAAATTACACGAAAAGTATTGAAACAGAAAGTAGAGTTTTAATGGTAATAGTGAAATTAACCGTTTCATTATAAGGAAATATTACGTATTCATTTACAAAAAGTGGACGTTGCTGTCGATTATAATTTTTCAAAAATTTGTTTCCTAGAAAAGTTTGTCAAGAAATTCGACTTCTCAAATTTGCTAAAAGTTAAAGCTCTTTCTAAATTTGATCAGATTTTCACTTTATTTTTGACATATGAATTTTTTGAAACTGTTTCTAAATCTTTGATTGTCTTTCAATCATTCCGCCTCACCTGCTATCCTCTTCCACCGCGCATGTGAGGCGCGCCGCAGTGTTTGGGAGCCACTGTGCTAACTGTTCGATTAATGGATGTCGAATATATTCGAGATGAGAACAGTTCATTTCGCCAATTAGAAAAGAGACGACACAAAGTTTAAGCTAAATTTAGCTGATCAGAATCTGTGAATTGATAGAACAGGACTTCTTACCAAAAAACTATTTATGTGAATCTCTAATGTGTACAGTAACTGAGTGAAACATAAATGTAATCAGGATAGTTGCAGAGAAAATTACAAGTTTTAAGGGCAGTAAGTGTTTTAACGGAGGACGTTAAGTGCGACACTAGCATCTGAAGAAGTTTTGGGATGACCAAAGACGCATTCCAAAAGCTAGGTAGAGTATTACGAGACAGGAGGATCTCTTTGGTAACAAAGAAAAGAGTACTGAACTGCTACGTGACATTTGTCCTCCTTTAGGGCAACGAATGTTAGATGGTCTCCTCAAAGATGAAGAAGAGTCTCGAGGCAACGGAGTTGTGGTTCTACAGAAGAATGGAAAGGAGATCATGGACCGAGCGTGTGAGCAACGATGAGGTTTGGGAGAGGATACAAGCAAGGAGGAAGCTTATACTTAACATTAGGAAGAGGCTGCTGAAAGTAGGGCTTAGAGAATGTGATACTCACAGGTCGAATAGAGGGAATAACAGACCAGGGAAAGCAACGCATGGCATACCTAGTAGGCTTACGCATATGGATCGCAGAACATGGCATGGTGGAAGTGTCAAAGGGACAAAACTTATTGAGAGCTACAAGGGATGGGGAGAATTGGAGAACCATGATCGTCTACGTCCTGAAGGGAAACGCCACATAGTAAAGGTGTAAAAAATGAAGCAGTTTGTTTATAATAAAATTTTCTGTTCTAGTTCAACCCGTTTTGGGTTCATACTGCTGTAGGAGGATTTCAAGTCACGGCGTATTATTGTTTGTTAAACCACATTGCTTGTGATTATGTAGCGTCAAACTATAAGGAATTATTATTATAAAAAAATAAAGGGTGAGGGCCATATCAAGTTGAAACACCGGCATCGTACAAAGTTAAGCAACACCGAATATTGTCAGTTACTAGATGGGTGACCGCTAGGAAAGAGCAGGTGATATAAGATGTATGCGTGGTGATAATAGATAGATTGGCATAGATAGACATAAAAGATAGATAGATAGATAGATAGATAGATAGATAGATAGATAGATAGATAGAAAGAAAATATTAACAGACAGTTAGGTAGAGATAAATGATATATGATGTACCGTTGGTTTAATGGATATGGGTTTGAAATCATTAATCAGTAAACACAGTTCTAATTCCATATTATATTCACTTTCGCGCAAACACTCATGGGAATGCTATCAATTCCCCCATGGAAATGCTATCAATGCCCCCCTCTTCATTCGCAGCTTTAGATTAATTAGTAGGATTTGTATCATTAAATATCATTATTATTTCCAAATAAACAACTTATAATCTGAAATATTTTCTAGCTTTAAATATCTTGCAAATGGTTCATAAGCTGTGAAATCTAATGATCCTATCAAAAACAAATACAGTCGATCAATGTTATAATAAAGTGTATGTGTTTTTGTAGGGTGTATAGTTTATCCGAAATTAAACTTGTGATGATGAGTCAAAGTGGAATGTCTGTTGATTTCGACTTGTTCAGAATCTAAAGAAGCCAAGTGCAACAGATTTGTCATTTATAGCTTTTCTACGCTGTCTTAATAAAAGACATAGGCATACAGATATATCAGCCGGTTATGGGCCATGCTTGATACACGCTTAGGCGATCGTGTATCTTTCGATACATGACTGACGGGGCAGATTTTTCCCCGTAGTGGGTTGCCATTTCTTTCTGCGGTAGACTAGTTGGCATCCAAGGCTATAGAACTCCTATCTGTCCTGCTATTTACCCATAGCTGGGAAGAGAAGAAAAGGATTCATACCTTTCCCAAGGGTATTAGCATGTACAGTACTGTTCGATAAAAGTGACTCACCTGATTTCTTTTACTTAAAAATTTTTTCGCCTATTGTTTTTGGGGTCAAACTAATTTTTAATCTTACTAATATAAAGACCCCTTCCCGACCACCTAGTAAAAAAGTTTACTCATGCTAAGGTATTCTATTGATAATTATAATTTTGGATATAAATGAGATTTAGGGAAAAACTCTGTGCAAAAAAAAAGTGACTCACTTATTTCCTGCAACTAGTAATCAATAGAAACATAACCGAACAGCTTTAAATAAAGTATAATAGAGTTATAATTTATTTATAATAGGTAATATAGTTCGAAATATTTAATAATCTATGGGTTTTCCTTTATTTTGAATAACCTTTTCAACCCTTTTTGGCATTGACTTGATTAGCTTCTGGCATATCTCATCTCCAAGCATTCAATTCCATTCGGACATGAAATTCACAATCAAATCCTCTTTGTTGCTCAACTGCTTTCTCGAGAGCCTGTACTTTATAATGATCAATAAGTTTTCTATGGGGTTGAGGTCAGGAGATTGGGGCAGCCAAGTCATAACACTCACCTGCTTCTCATCAAAGTATTCCTTCATCAATTTTGATTTGTGACAGGGAGCATTATCCTGCATAAAAATGATCTTGGTGGGGTCGATTTGCAATCTTTCAGCAGAAGGGAGCAGACAAGACTCTAAAATTCTCTTGTACTGCTCACTCCTGAGGGTCTTTTCAATAGGTTTTAAGAAAACAGTTCCATGAAAATAAAAGCATCCCCAGAACATTATACTGAACGGATGATTGACAGAACTTACTGCTAAATTCAAAGAGCTTTCAAAGCTTCTTCTTCGAATTTTAGATCGCTTATCCTTTGAATTTAGCTCAACTTTCATTTCATCAGAGAAGAGAAAATTTAGTAAAAAAAATCAGGTGAGTCACTTTTATCGAACAACAGCATACATAAATGGAATGTATTTTGAACTCGGCTGTCCTAATATATAGGCATCTAATTTCTGACTAATATATTTTCTCGGTAAATTCAAACACTGAAAGAACACATATTTCTGTGATTACCCGTTATCATTACAAGTGAGTTTTCGGCACTTTTATTTTTGCACTAATGATAATACATTTTTACCCTTTTTTTTCCCGTGATGGTCAGTTAATGGATCCGCCGTAATGTAATAACATCAAAAATCTTCAAAAAGCTCAGAGAATATCTTTGAACTATTCTTAGACGGAAACAAAAGCCTCAATAAAGAAATAAATGAATCGATTACGGATTTTTTTTTCGGGAAAATATTTAACTTTGCGGAAATTAAAGATAAATATGGCGCCAATATGTTACTTAAAAAAAAATAATGAAAACAAAAATAACAATAGCGTTTGTCTTTGATTCGACTAAAACAGAGAGAGGCGGGAAATTAGAAGTATAGATGGAATAAAAGATTCAGTGTATTGTTCTAATGCTGCGAGTATGTCTCCAACACAATGCATAAAACGGAAACAGAGGTCAGGCCGGATTTTGTAAACCGTGTTATCTGCCGTACTTAGCCCAGAAGGATTAGCGTTGCAGACAGGCGGAAGATGGTCCGAGAGACTAAAAGAAAGAAGAAACAAACAAAGCCACCTATGATTGACATCTTTGCTTCTGCCCTGACAGCTCTCGCTGTTTCACGTCTATGCTGCCGTTATGCGAGATTTGAAGGGGAGGGTATCGAGAGTTGAAAAACGTTGATCTTTGGAATGTTCATAGAAGCTCCGTTGTCAAAATGGCGGCAGTGTCTATCTAAAATCAATCATACCGGATCGATGCCGGGGAGGGGGATCTAAAGAATAAGCAACACCAGAAAATGCAGTAAGAATCGTTAATTCCTACTTAGATCAGGGCGTAATAATTTTCTGGGGTAATCACGTGTCGTTTTTGTCGTTAGATCTTTGAAAATATCTTTATGATGGTCGATGGAGAGACTTATTTTTTGTTGATTCGTAAACTTGCAAAAGTGAAAAGTACTAACGATTTGTAGGACTTATAAAGTTTCTATTTTTTTTTAAGAATAATCTGTCTTTTTCTGAATCATAATATTCAAAGGGCGCATATTGATTAGACCTCACGGAGATAGATAGATAGATAGATAGATAGATAGATAGATAGATAGATAGAAAGAAAAAAAGAAGGAAAATATTAATAGATAGATATCAAATAATAATAGATAGAGAGATATAAAATATTTATTGATACATAGATAGATAGATAGAAAATATTAATAGATAGATATCAAATAAAAATAGAGAGTTATAAAATATTAATTGATACATAGATAGATAGATAGATAGATAGATAGATAGATAGATAGATATAAAATATTAATAGATAGCTATCAAATAATAATAGATGAGAGACATAAAATATTAATTGATACATACATACATACCTACATAGATAGATAGTAGATAAAAAAATCTTAATAGATAGAAAATCTTAATATATATATATATATATATATATATATATATATATATGAAAACTACGATATCTTGACACTCAAAAATCAGTGAGTTGTTTAGACATACGAGAAGGGCAGAATGAAAGAGGAAAATTGTTTGCAAATAATTTTAAATGACGAGTTAAAAGATCAAATAGCAGTTAATCAATCATAATAGAACTAATCAGAGTTAAGTAATTACGCGAAAGTCGAATTATTATTCAAGGTCATGAATATTCAAGACATTTATTCAAGGTTATTCAAGGTTAATTATTCCTGAAAGATAAAACAGAGATGATAAATTTGCCGTTTTTTTTTTACTGGGTCCTCCTTATATATATATATATATATATATATATATATATATATATATATTATTTACTTTCTTTTCAGATTCTGTTTATTGCATTTTAATTTTTCCATTAGTTTTTGACTCGATAAAAAATTGACTTAGCACATTTTTTGACACATATTTAGAGCGACACCGCCATGTCTTCACAATGCAAAAATATGAATGCAATTAACGTAAAGACAATTTTATCAGCTTAGATCTGTATCTATGTCAGTTAAATTCTCTCCCAATCTGCACGACATTAATGAGAAGAAAAGAATCATAAAAGCAACATGAATTAGCGCGTAAATGCGTTGCTTTCTCACAATTGGCAGTTCATAACCTAGCGTGTCTAGGATTAATTTAAGAGAGTAGTTCAGTTTATACACTCTATAGGATGTTTGACTGACAGCTACGGCCATAATTTAAAGCTCTTGTTAGGATTGGAGCCATCTCTGCCATGACGATTGATTTTAGCTATCAGCGCGCAGATCTGAAAGGCTCTTCCAATTCAGACATTATCAATGAAATCTGAGCGTTGACAACTTTTATCGGTGCTTCTATCCCTGACCTAATGGTGTTGATGCTTAGTGAATTGTAGCTTCATTTTTACTTAGCCTACTGAAACAAAAGCGAAATGAAATCAGGGAAAAATGTTGCCAGCAGTCACCGCTATCATTTGCTTTTCTTTTATATATATATATATATATATATATATATATATATATATATATATATATATATATATATTTTTTTTTTTTTTTTTTTTCCACGCGTGGATGTTTAAACCGTTTTTATTTATGTATGTTTTGTGGAAAATTTGATGGTGTTGACATACTGGTTATATTCTGTAAGGATAACAATGAAAACGGATAAGAGACGAAAAGAAAGAAAATTCTTCCTACTGATAGAAAAGAAGCAATTTACGCTCTATATTTGATAACGTGACTTGTATTGTAACGCCAGCCATTTTAACTGTGATTTAAGACGCCATCTTGTCATGTTGATTTATCTTCCCGTTTGCTTATTTCAAGATATGCTACGTGGTTCTTTCACTAGAAAAAAAAGGCCGCGGGTCAATTTTAAAGTGTTGTTATTTGTTACTATTTTTGTCCTGTCTTTTATTTGATATAGTTGTTATTTTTGTATAGCGATAGTCAGCTTGTTAAGTTTATTGTATTGTGGAGCGCGCAGGCGCACAGGGTTTTTCGGTTTTGTTTATTCAAATAAATAAATTCACTGTTCCACTGTTGACCAACCAGCTAAACAAATAATAATTAAATGTATCTATAACTTGACTTACTCAATAATCTTCATTGTTATCAAGACATACGAGGCGCCCCACAAACGTTCCGAGAATTTAACTATGAAAAAAAAATGTTTGCATGTACTTATACTTACTTCCTACCTTCTCTTTTGATGTGGTCTTCTTAGATCTGTATACAATGATATCACAAAGGTTCTTTCTTTTTCTCCAATATGTCGTCTCTTTTCAAGACAGGGGC